TTAATTTACTTTTTTATTGCCACATCATTCAAGAGTTTGCGGAGGAGGAATTATGTGGATGAAACATTTTTCTTATTCTACTAAGGATCATATTGTCAATTAAATTAAGTATATTTTTATCTTTTTTTCAATGCCATATCCTATATTGGCTTAGGTTTTCTTCGCCTAACAAATTTATCGCTATTTTAAATATTAGTAATATGTATGAATTTTTTGCCTTATGATATTGATGTGCCTTAATTTGTTGGTAAAATAAAAATCGCATCTGCACTTCATAATATATTCACAATTCGATTCATAAGCATACAGCTAGTTTTACAATCATAAAATTCTTTATTGCCATTGATGATTTAAAAAGAGTAGTTCTATATAAACAAAAAGTCTATACAAAATTGTGTTCCAAAATGATATGGCAACTATGAGTCATATCTCTTGTAAAATAAAAAATCATCAACGTGACTTATATTTTTTAGATTGTCATTACTATATCATTCCGGTATGAAATTATGTATAAATTTTTTACATATTGATCATTTTCTTTTTTTAAAATTCACAATTACATTTTAAATACATATTACTTATTACTTAATACTTGTAAACCATTATTTAAAACTGTAAGTTTATTAAGTTATACAAAAAAGAACAACGATGTACATAAAGAACATTTTTGCAAAGCTTTTTCCTATAAACAAAGGCAATGGGGTTCATATTAACAAATACATGTGAGACTTTGCCCGGGTGTTATTGCGTCCCTCTAATTTTGCACCTCTAATTTCATCCTTAATGACGTGGCTTCCTTCCATATGAAGTCATTCTAATTTTGCACCTCTAATTCCATATGAACCAATTTTGCACCTCTCTTTACCGTTGGATTTAACAAATTAAACTATTTAATCAATTTTTGTATTATTCTAAATTAAAAACAAATATTTTTTTACAAACGTATTAAGCCGTACTTGTACTCTACTTTGTTTTTTTGGATTTTACCATATTGGCGTACTTGTATTGTACCAATACCAGTACTCATATTCGTACTTGTGTTTCATAGGTCTCAAATTATTTCAAGTCGATCTTGGAGAAACTTATTGAGCCGAAAATGTTATGGTTACTCTATGTGTGTATGCGTGTGCAATTGTAACTAGTGTATTATCCAAATTAATTTCAATAGAATTAATCAAGTAATAGTAATTTCAAAATTGGGTAGGGAAAATTTTCAAAATTCGGTAATTACCCAGTACGGATACTACATGTTTTTCGAAATACTCATACTTCATAGTCTCAAGATAATTCTAAATGAAGATTTTTATATTTTTTATTATTTTTTTGCAAAGTATATATTATTTAAAATTAATTTTTCTCATTATTGAGATAAAAAATTATTCATTAAATTTTTAAATTTAATGTTTTTATATTTGGGGGTAAATTGGGGGATAAAATCAAATTCCAAATGAATTTGGGTGCCACATCAGCTCGTTCCATCTAATTGTAGACGCAATGTGACGGACGACATGAGCCAAATTGATCAAAATTTTGAAATTTTGGATGTAAAATTGATATTAATTGAAATTTGAGGATCAAATTGAAAAATGAGTGAAAGTTTAAGGAGCAAAATGATATTTCCTCCACCTAATAATTTAATTGATTTTCGTGCATAGTATGGATAAAAAAATTGTGATTTTCTTGTTTATGCATGCAACTATATTATGCATAGGTACAAGCAACCGAAAATTAAAGATAGTCAGTATTATTTTACTAATATATATAAATATATATTCGTTTGGAAAGTGGATTGATTTTTGACTTTTGACTTTTTTTATCTATTTTAGCTTGGGACTAGCCTCATTTGGTAAGCACTTTTGATTTTTTTTTACTTTTTTTTGTGAGAGAAAGAATATAATAATTATGAATTGTATGTGATGTTTTGTTTTATTAAGCCTATTTTGTTTTTTGTACCTATTTTAACCAAAAAAAAGCCCAAAACCCTCTTTCCCAAACGAGCTCTATATATGAAGGCCCTCTTTTTGAGTTGATTCTACTTGGATTTGCGTGTAGTTATACGAAAATCCAATGAAAATTTTCATACAATAAATAATAAGCACATGATAGAAAAGAAAGGAAAAACATTTTCAGTTGGCTATAATCCAAAACATGTGGTTGAGATTTTAGTTAATCAAACTTTGAATCCTTGGATGAAGAAATTCTTCGAATGCTTTAAGAACCTTTCACTCTTTTCATCGAACCTTCACAAAAGCAAAAACAGTTTGTTGGAGATGATGATGTGATAAGCCTGCTTGCTTTGCACATTCTATTTTTTTCAACTAGAATTTTTCAACCCATTTTTGTTTTTGCAAGTTGCTTTCAATAGAGACGCTACACATCAAATTATTTTTTGTGTTTTTTTGCTTTTGGATCATGTGGAGAAGCAACAACTACTATTTGTTTTCTGTTAGCCTTGAGTTGACCATAAATTATTGTTATTCTCTATTGATTAATAATTGTTTTGTGCTTTCATCTTTTATAATTTTTCTACTAAAATGTTAAAAAACAATCTTAACTACCCCTCTGTTTGTTAGCCAATTGCTTGTAGATGAAAATAAGAGAGTCCACGTTAGAGACCAGTGTGCAAGCCTATTTTCCAAATTCACTTTTTAAATCTAATGTAAACAAGATGATTAGTGGATAATTATAAAATAAATTAGAGAGATAATTGACTTAGCCTTGTTTGGGGTACCCTATTTTAGTCCATCTTTTTATTTTTTTATCTTTTTTGAATCACATCAATCAATATCTCCTTTTTACTTTTTTATACATCTTTTTATAAAAAGTCAAAAAGTGCACTTATTTAGAACATCCCAAGCCACCCCTAAATGTCACATTATTGAATCTAAAAAGTAGGTCTAATTTTTTTGCCTAAATAGCAATACTCATTTTTTAATGCCAAAATTTGTGCCTTACGAAAACTCGAAGAGTCGTGATTTCAAGAGGCCAAAAGGACTCTGTTGGGAGGAAGAACTATTCATAAGAACAAAAACAAGCCAAAACATCAAAGCGACCTTATTTATTCATTTTTTTTTTTTTGGGGGGGTCCAAAATGGGTGACTAATCTCTTTTACTGTATATATATATATAGAGAGAGAGAGAGAGAAAAAATTACATTTTAAATTCAATTTCACTTTACTCTTGACTTGTTTGTTAATTGTCTCAGAAAACTACCTAATTTTCAAGTAAAATTACATTTAGGCTCAATTACATAACATTATTTTAAAAATTAACAAAGACACTAAAATGCTGGCACTAAAGTGAGATTTTGATAAAAATATAAAGATGTTAAAGACTAAAGTGACAATTTGATAAAAATGCAAGTGGTAAAATTTTAATTAATACTACTACATGATTGTTGTTTGTTAGTTTTCGAGTTATCTAAAAGGGCCCAAACACAATTTGAGTGAAAGTTTGGGGGTTGATTGAGATAATCATAAAGTCAAGGGACAAAATAAAATTGGGTATAAAAAGGAGGGGTATAAATTGTAATTTACCCATATATATGTAGTTCCAAAATGGGTGACTAATCTCTTTTACTCTATGTATAGAAAGAGAGAAAAAATTACATTTTAAATTCAATTTCACTTTACTCTTGACTTGTTTGTTAATTGTCTCAGAAAACTACCGAATTTTCAAGTAAAATTACATTTAGGCTCAATTACATAACATTATTTTAAAAATTAACAAAGACACTAAAATGCTGGCACTAAAGTGAGATTTTGATAAAAATATAAAGATGTTAAAGACTAAAGTGACAATTTGATAAAAATGCAAGGGGGGAAATTTTAATTAATACTACTACATGATTGTTGTTTGTTAGTTTTCGAGCTATCTAAAAGGGCCCAAACACAATTTGAGTGAAGTTTGGGGGTTGATTGAGATAATCATAAAGTCAAGGGACAAAATAAAATTGGGTATAAAAAGGAGGGGTATAAAGTGTAATTTACCCATATATATGTACATACATCTGATTATAAATAAAAGAAAATGGAAATGGTAAGTGTAGGAAAATGATGTATGGACCCAAATAAAGCGCCAATGATGTGTCAACATGACATTGGCTAGGGTGTAATTTGGACTGATTCAACCCAAGCAATTCATCCTCAATTTGAAATTTGTAGGATTGGACAACATATTACAAACTAGGTCAACCCAAACGAAAATTGTTTACATAATTTTCACCATTCAATAATGTCAAAATAATTTGAAATTTTAGATCAGATCATATTCATTACTATATGTTATTTACACAAATAATACAACACAAATACCTTTTCCCTTTCTTACTCAAAAATGATAAATACTACTATAGAAGAACAACGATTTTTCAATTCTCTAATTTCTCTTCTCCAACTTTCTCTTATGATATAAGTTATTTGTTTTGATTTATGAATAATTTTACTCCCAAAAAAAATAATAAGGTCAAACTTTAATAAATTAATTTAAAACAAAAAAAAAAAAAAAAAAAAAAAAAAAAAAAAATTAAATTATTTAAAACCAAAAAAAAAAAAAACTTAAATTTGTGAGTATTTCGGGCAATTTGAACCTAGTTCAAGTTCAATTTATTATGGTCAAGTCAGACTTAAATAAATAAGTTCGAGTTAAAAGTCGAGTGTAGATGAACTTAACAGCACTTAACACAAACTCGAATTAGGCTTGAATAACTTTTCAACTCAATCAAACCATCCTCTTAAATTACTGTTGTTTTAATAACAAGGACTCCTTAATATTTTTTTAAGCCACGTCTCTCGGATTAATGTCAGCTTAATTTTTGATCTCGTATATACAGCACACTGCTCTTACACACCTAATTATTAACATTTCAAAAATTATACTGAGTTTCTGAACATCTCTTTTTCAATTGTTTAGGAGACATTACTTGTTCAGCTGTTCCCATTAAACAATTTTAGCTTAGACACAAAACTCTTTTCAAACAAGAAAGAACATGAACAAGAGAGTAAAGTAAACAAACCCGTTCTAAAATGTAAAATCATTTCTCAACGTGTATAATTATTGTCTTTTCATAGAAACAATAGATTTATATAGAAAAATAAAAATAAAAATAACAACTATAAAAGAAGATGTGTTTTTTTGAGGTTGTTACTGCTAACAATGTTGTTGCTGTTGTAAGCTGATCAACTTGAAGTATGCCCCATCCTTGTTCTCCACAAGACTAGAATGAGTCCCTTGCTCTATTATCTTCCCGTCTTGTAAAACCGATATTTGGTCTGCATTTTTAATAGTCGACAACCTATGGGCCACCATGACCGTGGTTCGGTTCTTCATCAGCCTATCCAAAGCTTGTTGCACAACTCGCTCTGACTCCACGTCTAGAGCGCTCGTGGCTTCATCTAGTAGCAAGATAGCCGGGTTTTTTAGAACAGCCCGAGCAATGGCTACCCTTTGCTTCTGGCCACCGGAGAGTTGAACTCCTCGCTCTCCAACTTTGGTTGAGTAGCCCTCTGGAAGGGCACTAATAAAACTATGTGCATTAGCTAGTTTTGCTGCTTCGATTACTTCTGCTTCTGAGGCTCCTTCTCTCCCGTAAAGTATGTTTTCATAGATTGATGTGGCAAAGAGAGCCGGTTCTTGTTGGACTAGGCCAATGTGCTTCCGGAGAGATTTGAGTTTGAGTTTCTTGATATCTTTTCCTGTAAGTGTCAACAACACCACTTTTAAAACACGATAAAAATGACTAATAACTAAGAAGTACGGATCCTTTTAAGAAGGTAACGTGTCGTGTCCAACACAGACACTCGTTGGACATATCCCAACACTAAAAGACACACAAGAAACATATTACAAGTTTAAACAAAATTACTTGGAATCCAATGACAACAAAAAAACGTAAAATTATACTTATTCTCCTTTAGACTTCAAAAATTATTGTCTTGAGTTGAATATTCATACACATTTTTTTTTTGATTGGCAAATATTCATATAGATGACATATAATAATTCTATTCTTATACAACATATATAATAAGTATATAAAATTATATATTTTGTATGTGATCCCTATGTGTCGTGTCCTATATTTTTAAAAAATTTATGTGTTAGCATCATGTCCGTATCCGTGTCTGTGTTTCTTAGACTAATAGAGTTGAGCACAGATTTATCAGAAAATAACTCACTGTCAATCATCACTTTGCCGGCTGTTGGATCATAGAACCGTAGGACAAGAGCGAGCACTGAGCTTTTACCGGAACCACTCTGCCCGACTAATGCCATGCTCTGGCCTGCATGCACGGTTAGATCGAAGCCCTTGAAAATGAGTACATCGGGCCTTGAAGGGTAGTGAAATTGGACACCCCTCAGCTCTATCATGCCATCCACCGTTGTCAGCTCGTCTCCAATATCGCTTTTGACCTCTGTTTTTCGGTCGAGAACCTCAAAGACCGACGCCACCATTTGGTTCCCTTTTAGAAGATCTGGTGCCATTGCCAAAGTCTCCCCCATGGCTAGTGCCGTCACTATCAAAACCATAAATGATTTCATGACAGATTTAAAGCTAGAAATCTCCTTCCCCATCAAAACAGAACCATACCTGCACAAAGTTTAAACAAGAAGCATATAATAGATTTAACCTACAAGCCAATAATACAAGATTAACCATTGTGATGGTGTTGGTCCCTACTGTTTCAGAAACCATCATTCTGTCTCACAATTCATTTGTTGCGAGGGCACAATGAAAGGCTCCAAATACCCATGTCCAAAAAATTGCATCTAGTACAAAGAACAAAATTTCATTTCCTTTCCAACGAAATGGCCAAAACGTTTCCGTTTGTAAGGAAACCAAAACTGAACATTAGTAGAATAACAAAATTCAAACATTTCCATAAAAGCGTAACAAAACATTGTCAAACACATCGAAACAATGAATAGTTTCAACACATTAAGAATACTTAGCAATGCCCATTTATATTTGCCACTTTTTTGTCAAAAAATAGGAAGATAAACAACCATAATAAGTCACTAATTCTCTCTCTTCTTTTTTTCTTCTTTTTTCTTTTTTTGTTTATGCAAAGTTTTTTTTTTTTTTTTTTTTCAAAAAAATCCCTACTACTACAATTTTGCTTTTAAATTTTTATTTTTTTTCTTATAGCGGTGAGGTGAACTTGTTCCCCATCTAAACCTTTAAACCTTTTGTTTATAAATTTCCAATATTCACAGACCTCAATATGTTTAATTATTTAATTATTGAGAATGTATTAACATTTATATTGATTTTAGTTTTTTTTTTTTCTAAACATTTTTCAAATGTATTCAAATTTTTCTCTCAATTTCCCTTATGTTTCAAAAACATTTCTATTTCCAAGCTCACTGAAACGAATTTCGTTCCTTGATCTAGCATCAATGCTACATCTTTTTATCTATGTTATTCAACCATGTTTTCCATGGCAAAGGTAAAACAGATGAAGCTAAAACCCCATACCACAAAGCAAGGCCATAGGATGAGAAGATGAAGAATTGAGAGACTCCATAGAAAATGCCAGCAATCTGACCACGAGTAAACGAACGCCTTGAAGGCTCAACAAGCTCTTGAGCATAAAGGTCAAGGACCTTCTCTTCCGAGCAGAATGCAGCAACAGTACGGATGTTACTCACAGCCTCACCAGCAAGCATGTTCGCTTTCAGATAGGCTTTGCTCAAGTTTCCACCATAGCCTTTCATGAACATTTTCTGAAGGTGGAATCACCAAACAAACAAATTAGTGATAAAGCTTTCAAATATCAATGATCATTTTAATCTGCAAGCTAAAATTGGAGGGAGGAGGAAACCTCGCTTATGTGACCGCTAATGATCAGTGGATATGTGGCCATGACAAGAAGCGTGAGCCTCCAGTTCAAAATGAAGGCAATGATGAATGAGGTAACGACCAAACCAACATTCTGTATGAGAATAGTAGAGCGATCAACAACTACAGTACGCAACAAAGTTGCATCACTCTCTAAACGAGATGCGAGCATGGAACTTGTGTTGTTTGTGTCATCAAACCATCCAATCTCATTTCTCAAAATGGCTGCAACCAAATACAGAAGAAAATCAAGAAAAACAAAATAAATTCTTCAAGAAATAAACAAAGGACTATTTTAACTTCATAAATGTAAGGGTATAAACCAGTATTTTTGGTTTCCATCACCCATATAAAGGCACCAATTCATCATCTAGGCAATAAGGGAAGATGAATTCAATGTGAAAAATAATTTTCCATGTTTGAAAACATTGGTACTTCAATTTTTAAAACAATATTGTGTTCATCCAAATACCTCTTCATACATAAAAAAATCTTTTTATAAAGGGAACAATAGGGATACAAGGAGCAAATATGGCTATTGTCAAATTTACCAGAAAACATCATTTCTCGCACGCGAAGAGTAAGCCGCTCTCCCATGATTCCAAAGGAGAGATGTGCGATCACATGAACAATGACAGTTATGAAAGCACCTCCACAGAAGAGGACTGTGATCTTCTTGACTTCACGGCATGTTATGTCCCAGTCCATGTAGTATGATACAAGAGCCTGAGTGACACCAAGGGCAAAAAGAGGCATCTGTGCTCCAGCAATGAGTGCACAAATTGTGCCAGAAACCCCATACATCCAGTCAGGACCCACCATCAAATACAATCTTCCATTCGACACACGTGGTGGATTAACAATCTCCAAACCATCAACTCCAATTCGACCAACCGACACCTTATCAGAGTGAAAGCTTGTGTCGCGGCTTGTTGTGCGCGACAATTCACGAGAATATTTAATGCTACAAAAATAAAACAAGTAAACAAGATTTTGATACTTAGTCAGATTTTTCAGGAAATTAGTGTTATGTATGTTAAAGTTGCTTTATTTGAAAAGCAACAGTATTCTTTTGTTTCACTAGAAAATGGAATCTTTGGGAGAAACATCATAACAATTTGCATTGGACATGTACAATTTTGAGTATTGATGTTGGTATTTTTGATAAAGTAGTACATCTGACAATCCCCAGACCCCACAGTATGGGGAACCTCATGCATTAAGACTGCCGTTGTATGTAACGGCAGCAAACAGCATATTTTGGAAAATTTAACTGACTCTAAAAGTAAATATGAAATGAAGAAAGACAAATTTCTCCATTTTTAAGAATGTAACATAATGAGTGAGTATGCGGTCAACATAGCTCGGTCTTCCTTGCACCACTAACGTAATTTCTGTGCAACATTTTAAAAATAATTTTGAAGATTTAGCCACTAATACCAAATGGAGAATAAATGCCCCCCATTTCTGTTTAATGCAAATGTAACATCTAAAGAATTGATATTATTTCAGAAATTTAATGTATATACCTGAGTGGCTGTCCCAAAGCAGGTCCACGGGAAGGGAGGCGATGCAAGGAAGCTGCCTCTTGGAGTTGAATAAGTGATGCATAAGCACTATTTGGTTTCGAAATGAGCTGATCATGACTCCCGGTCTCCACTATCTTTCCACCTTGAACAACAGCTATTACATCTGCATTTCTAACAGTAGAAAGCCGATGGGCCACAACAATAGTTGTCCGTCCTACCATCACACGATCAAGTGCCTCCTGAACACTCTTCTCAGACCCCGCGTCAAGAGCGCTTGTAGCTTCATCCAGCAGAAGTATTGAAGGATTCTTTACTATTGCTCGTGATATTGCAATTCTCTGCTTCTGTCCACCCGATAATTGTATTCCCCTTTCACCCACCTGCAAATGAACTTCAATTGTTACTCCTTTCACCCAAAAAATAAAAATCCTCCTATCCTAATGTTCTCTTAGGCAATGTTTGGATCAAGGACTTGAGGAAGGATTTGCAGAGGGAAAGGAATTAAGAAAATAAAAGTGAATGAAATAGAAGATAAACTTTTGTCACATTTTCCTTGACTTTTCCTTTTCCTTTTCCTTTCCCTCTCCAAATTCTAATCCAAACACAGCTTTAAAGATTAAGATCACAACGTGCTAACTTTACAGTGTCAATTTTCAAATTTCATGTATATATATATACCAACAGTTCCATATACCTGGGTTTCCAATCTATCAGGAAGGTTGTTGATGAAAGTGATTGCCTCTGAAAGTTTCGCAGCACGTGTAATCTCTTCGAGGGTGGCATCGTCTTTCCCATAGAGAATGTTCTCCCTAATGGTTGTGGCAAAAAGTGCAGGCTCTTGATTAACCAACCCAATCTGTTGCCTGAGCCACTGGAGGTCAAGCTCTCTGATATCGGTTCCATCTAATAGTATCCGTCCAGAGAGAGGCTCGTAGAAGCGCTCAATCAAGGATATAACCGTGCTCTTTCCCGACCCACTTCCTCCCACAAGGGCTACAATCTTCCCAGAAGGTATGTCAAGACACAGCTTGTTGAATATCATAACATCAGGACGAGATGGGTAGCTAAAGCATACGTCCTTGAATTGGATATGGCCTTCATGATTGACTAGTTTCCTGCCGGTTTTCAAGCTTGTTTTGCTTATTGTGTTTCGCTCTATCATCTCAAATATGGGATAAGCAGCTGTCTTTGCTCGGATGAATGCAGAGATGTCGGGCGCTGCCTGTCCAAGTGACCTGTAAAGCCATAGGACCTAATAATATAATATGCTTATTCCGATGCAATTATCTTATCATGAAGATTGGAATTGAAAGCCTTTGTTCCTAGTTTAGAACAACATGGTGTTAAAACCTATCACCTACTTCACCCACTTAAACCTACTCCACTAAACCTAACCCACTAAATCCACATACTCTCCACCTACTTCACCCACTTAAACCTACTCCACTAAACCTAACCCACTAAATCCACATACTCTCCTCATGAAGATTGGAATTGAAAGCCTTTGTTCCTAGTTTAGCACAACATGGCATTTTGCAGATCATACAGAGCTGAAATTCAACATGCCATTTGGTACACCAAATATATGCATTTATCGTAACCTATCATGACTCATTGCAATTTGATTCATATTACACTAAGCAAACAGTTGGTTAATGCAGGGTACATATGAATGTTATAAATAAAATAAAAAAACAAAATCACACCATTTTGTTTTATAGTGTTTAAATGCACAAGCCTACACTCTAGAAAGTGTCACTGCCAAAGTTGCAGACCAATGTCATTTCACATGATTAATTATTATCCCTTTATAATCAAATAGGCCCAAATTTTAATAGGTATGGGAAAAGCATAATAAACTTGCTTCCAATTTTATGTTAAATCTAACATACTGAAGAAACATCTAAACAGGCCCAAGATGTACAAGAAATCATGTTCACTGAAAATGCAAAATGGAGGCACCAGAAGTAACGAAGGACTTGTTCATATGCTACCTTCCAATTTCAATGGACCAACTCATAGATTCATCGAAATACAATAAGAGGCACAACGGACTAATTCAAAAAATTGCTTGAATAAAGAGATAGGAGCAAAGACTTACAATCCGGAAATGACAACATTGAGCATGGTAGTGAAAGAATCTCCTCCATTGGCAATGTTCTTATGAACAACAATGCTCGTATACCAAACAAGCAATGACCATGAAAGAAAAAGGACACAGTGCAAGGTGCCAAGCCCCAGGCCCTTGGCTAGTCCTGCTTTCCTCCCGTACTTGTAAGTGTCCAAGAGTGCTGCTCTATACAATCTCACTGCCTTTTCTTCTCCTGCAAATGCTTGAACTGTTCTCACATTTCCTATCACCTGAGAATTGCATAAAATGAGGAGAGAGAGAGAGAGAGAGAGAGATCTGTTCTACAGTGAATGCTCTCCGAATTACCAAATGAACCAATTAATTCTGACCACATCAACATAACAAAAATGCCCATCTCTTCTTTTTCTTTTTCTTTTTCTTTTTTTTTTTTCTTTTTTAACAGGATTAAGAAAAATCAGCTGAACCGTCACCTAATTTACAGAAGTGTTCTGCCAAAAACGTACATTCTATGAAAAGTTTGTTTTACAGAAAATTATGTTAGAATTAGATCGCTTAAATCATGAAATCAAGTTCATTTTAGTAAAGAAAGTTGTACACATACAGAATTCGTATACAAAATTTCCATATAGAACAATTTGAGATGACACTTCTTACTTCAAAATAAATAAATCGATCAAATGTCATACAAGCTAAATTTGGTGTTTAAAATAAGGTAATGCCAACAATGGCTCAAAGAGCTGTCATTAAGGTGAGGAAAATATCAAAAATAATTGTGAATTACATGGTATATCCTTAAAAACTTTTATATAGTTTTTTAATATTTTTCACACATTGTTGTACAATTTTCTCACTAAGTTTCTCTATTTTGAATGTTTTGCACGCTTTTGCATATAATTTTCTTACCTCTATCCAGGCTAATGACAAATTGACAACCTTTGCCGTGTCATTAGCCTTTTCTTATAAAGTTTTAAAAATGTTGTCGTTACAACATTCTATATCAAACTTTGCATAAATAATCTAGAGACAATTACAAAATAAAAAATAAAAAATAAAAACTCCAAGGTTTTAGCTTTATAACAAAATAAAGCTTGAGTTTTTAATTTTATTAATTTAAACCCTAATCTTTTAATTTGTTTTCAATGTAAACCATTCGCTTATTTTCGTTAAGTAGAACCAACGGAAAAAGAGTATTTTAGTCATTAAATTAAACTCAATGTAGGCATAGATAAAATGTCAACAATACCTTTTTCATTGAGTTTAATAACTAAAATACGTATTTTTCTATCAATTTTACTTAACAAAAACACACAAATGGTTTAAATTAAAAATAATTCAAAAAAATTAGAATTTAAATTGATAAAATTGAAAACTTACGATCTATTTTGTTGTAAGGCTTAAAATTTGGGGGTTTTTTTTTTGTAAATTCCCCAATAATCTATATTAAACTTTGCATAAATTAAAACTCATCATTTGGCATGAGAATTTTATATAATTTAATTGATAATTGTATTAATCTCTAAAATTTAACATAATTGATAATTGTATTAATCTCTAAAATTTAACATTCAATATGAATCTCTAATGACAATGTAGTTTGATGAAGTGTGGGTTTCGAGAGAGAGTTTCGAGAGGACCTCTTGGGCGATTTCGCCAGCGTAGACGTAAGATTTGCGAACACGGGCAATGAGACCAGTGGCGACAAAGGCGTAAACACCACCAGCAATGGCGATCAAGGGAACAATAGAGAGAGTGACGAGACTGATTTGCCAAACCCTAATGAATCCGATTGTGAATCCTGCTATGAATCTGCTTATGTAATGAATGAAGTTCCCCACCTGCTTCAAGTTCAATTCCCAATTTTTAGAGAGAGAGAGAGAGAGAGAGTAGGGTGCCCAGTGCTAGAGCAGGGTTGTGAGATAATATGACTTTGATGCGGTTTCAGGGATGACATCATTTCCCGGTCGTTGACGCTAAAATTACGACAATAATCACATTTCTTGGGTTTTTTTTTCTTTTTTTTTTATTATAATGTAATAGAATATAATAGGTGGATTGAGAATATTAAGTTAAGAGCATCCACAGCCTACTTATAATTTACTCTAAAATATTATTAAAAAATTTATTACTTATTTTAATAATTATTTTTTCATTTACTTCTTCCAACAAACTTTTTATTTTTTCTATATTCCATTAAAATAATCTTTTACTTCTCCTAATAAACAAGCCCAAGACAAAGTGCAAAACACATCCGCCCAAAATAGAGTGTAAAATAGACCAACAAAATAGCATATCGAAGTAACCGAAAACAAAGAAGGGGGGTCGACTGATAAGGCCAATTTTGGGCATTTTCCTTCTCTAGCTATAGACACTCATGGGACATCCGAGAGGACATATTGGGGGGGTATTCAGGAGAACATCCCCTTCGCGCTTCAATAAAATAAAATAAGAATTTATCAAATATGAGGGAATTACAATGACTCTATACAAATAAATAAGAATTTATCATATATGAGATAATAGAGAGTCACTGTAGCAACACTTATATTTGGAGAGTTGGATAAGAGATATGCTAGGGAAGGATTTCTGAAAGATTAACCTTTTTATAATAGCTTGCTATTATAAAGAAGCTGTTGTGGATGCTCTAAGTGGCTGTTTTAAACCAACAAAACAATTCAGTTTCATTTGTGGTTGACTTATTAAGCTTAATTTATTAAATAAATAAATAAAATTTAAATATATTGTAGAACTCGTTAAAGTTTTTAAACTAAATTTAAATAGTTAATTGCTCATTAATCTCGGTTTAAAAAGTATAAAATTACATAAAATATCAAATTTCTCTAGCCCTACTTAATAAAAACTCGTTTGAGATAGACTTGAAAGTTTAATGAACCAAACTTAAACAAATTTTAAAACTCGTTAAAATTATCAAACTAAACTTAAACAATTAACTATTTGGCTCGTTTATAAACCATAACCTTAAGGTGTGTTAATAAAAAATATAAAATATCAAAATACTTTTAATTTTAACATATTTTTTACGTGTTTCAAAATAGTTTGGCTTGTTTTTTAAAAGAATTAAAAAGTCAAAAATTTACTAAAAAATTTTTAAAAAAAAATTCAAACGAATGTACAAAAAAGTTAAAATTTTCATTTTTTCTTCATTTTTAACATGTTTTTTTCCATAAAAAACTAAAAAATATTCCAAACAAACTAATTTTTGTCGTCTATATTTCGATCAAAAAAAATTTTACTAAAATAACCTATTGCTAAACCAAATCTTTCACACATTTTAATACACTTTTTATATTATTTTTTAACACCAACAATAGCCCTAACAAATATTTGAGGAAAATATAATAGCACTACAAATTTAGCATAATTTCACATTTCTTCCTTTTATTAGTAAAGTTTAAGTGATCAAAACTAAAGTAAATAATAAGTAGACATTGAAATAAATAAAAACAAACATATATTTTAATAAAAAAAGGGATAATAACTTTATCTTTTTATACATATAACTCAAAATTACTGTTAAAATGTATTATGTAAAATAAAATTTGGAGAGAGACCCATTTAATTGTTTAAAAAATGTAATGCTAACTTCTAGTGATGAATTTTTAAAAAAGGATTATAAGTTATAATTTTCTCCGATGCTATGATGCTAGGCCTCAACGACCAAAAAAAAGGATTATAAGTTATAATTTTCTCCGATGCTATGATGCTAGGCATCAACAAATAGTTAAGTTTCTTTAATTCAAACAACATATATGTAGGGTAAAATTACACTCATACCTCTGAGATTTGACTTTAATATATATCAGTCTTGATGTTTAGAAAATTACACTGACTCTTCTGTCATTGCAATTATTTAGACTAAATACATATTTGCGTCAAAAAGATATTGAATTCATATACTCTCTCTTTTCTTGTTTTGTTTTATTTTTCTTGTGTTTTTTTTTTTCTTTCCTTTGCTTTATTTTATTTTCCAATATAATTTTCTCTATTTTTCTACCATGAGTTATTGTCTTTTATATAAGTAGAGGTTTATGAAATGAGACTAGTAGCCACGTGGGTAGAAATATAATTTTTCAAACATCAAGGAAATGATATGTATTAAATCTAAATCTCAATGAGTGTTAGTGTAATTTACCCACAGATGTAAATGTTAGACTGTTTCTAGTCTTTTTTTAAATTTTCTCATTTTGTTTTGTATTTATTCTTGTTTTTCATATTTTTAAAACAAAGTAATGAACAATCCAAAAATATCTTTGTTTTTTGGTATTTATTTTACCTTCTCAATTTTCTATATTAACCTATTTAATAAATAAGGTCCCTTATGATATACCATGAGTGTAATATAAATACATTTTTTCACAAGTGCTAAGAAAACCATGCCAAATACCAATGAAAATAAATATAAAAAAATTATAAAATCAAAAAATTCTGAAATTTCTCTCTTTCAAGGCATTAAAAGTATAATTTTGATGTAAATTGAGTGATCACCATTTCATTAAACGATTGGTTAATAACAAATTCTTGTCAATGAGAGAGGCTTCATATGATTTTTAGTTCAAAAAAATATAATATATTGAATATGTTATTATGCAGATCTTGCTCAAAAAAAAAATTTTTGATTTTTACAATTGCTACGAAAGATATTTAAAAAAATAAAATTACACTCACAATAAAAATACACGAATTCAAGTAATCATGCATGCCGAATAATAAATTTTTACTTTTCAAATAACTAAAATAATAATCTAAAATATACCAACACTAAAATGACCACATGTATTCATTATTGCAGCAAAGCTACTCCCCCAAATATATACAGCACCCAACTACGCATTCCAAAAAATATTAATTTGATGATCCTGAAAATCATGCATGTAAACAGTACATGTGGTACAATCTTTTTCCTAGCCAAACATGTCTTGGTGCAAAAGGACTAAGGCACCGTTTGGGAAGTAGGTTTTCAGATTTTTTTTGGCTACTTTTATTCCAAAAAATAAAATAAGTTATTTTAACAACAACATATAAAATATCACATTTAATTCATAATCATTACACTTTTCTCTCATAAAAAAAAGTCAAAAAAAATTAAAAAGTCAAAAAGTCCTTCTCAAACCAAGTTTTTTAGTCCATGCTAAAATAGCCAAAAAAGTCAAAAAGTCAATCCACTTCCCAAACTAAATTAAACAAAAATGTTATAATTTTAGAAAAAATACATCAAAAAAATATTTAAAATTTAATATTAATGGTCAATATTCACTCAATATTAAAATCTCCTCCATATATTTAAATTTCTAATAATTTTTCTGACACCACAATTTTGGCTCTGTTTGGCAAGAGTTAAACAAGGCTTTTTTGGCTATTTTAGTCACAAAAGATAAAATAGGCTATTTTAACTACAAAAAACAAAATATCGCATCTAACCCATAATCATTACATTCTTCTCTCACAAAAAAAAGTCAAAAAAATCAAAAAGCCAAAAAGTCCTTCCCAAATCAAACTTTTTAGCCTAAATTAAAATAATCAAAAAAATTAAAAAGCTAAAAAGCCAACCCACTTTCCAAAAGGAGGCTAAATTGATTCCCTTCCCTAGGCTCATTTTATTGGGTAACCAAATGGCATATGTCTAAGCATCACTTTATGGTTTCAGAAAATTGAACATACTTTTTAAAAAATTAATTTTTTATTTTTTTTGTATCTTTTTGTTTTTAGTCTAAAATTTTAATATTTTTATTTTTTAGTTACACTTAATTTAGACGCACTTAAAAAGTATAATATTTATGAAATTATTTTTAAAAATTCATCAAATGCAAAAATATTTAAAAAATAAAAATATAGTTCATTTTTGTATTCTTGTGTATTTATTAAATATTTTACTTTTTATGTGCATCTAAGTTGTGTGCATCTAGAAAGAAAAAAAAAATTACTTAAAATATTTAAAAAATCGCTAAAATAAAAAAATATGAAAAATTAAAAATTAGATTTTTAAAAAATCAATAAAAACCAAAAAAATTCAATTATAAAAAATTATACTAAAGAGGCCCAATGTCATTTATCCATGGCCTTGTATCCCCCCCCAAGTATAATATTTAATTCATAATCATTACACTTTTCTCTCATAAAAAAAGTCAAAAAAATTTAAAAAGTCAAAAAGTCCTTCTCAAACCAAGTTTTTTAGTCCATGCTAAAATAGCCAAAAAAGTCAAAAAGTCAATCCACTTCCCAAACTAAATTAAACAAAAATGTTATAATTTTAGAAAAAATACATCAAAAAAATAAGACTAAGGCACCGTTTGAGAAGGAGGTTTTCAGGCTTTTTTTAGTTACTTTAATTTCAAAAAATAAAATAAGTTATTTTAATTACAATATATAAAACATCACATCCAATTCATAATCATTATACTTTTCTCTCATAAAAAAAGTTGAAAAAGTCAAAAAGTCTTTTCAAACCAAGTTTTTTAGCCCAGGCTAAAATAGCCAAAAAAGTCAAAAAGCCAACCCACTTTCCAAACGGAGGCTAAATTAAACAAAAATGTTATATTTTTTGAAAAAATACATCAAAAAAATATTTAAAATTTAATATTAATGCTCAATATTCACTTTCAGTGTAGCTCCAAAATAGAAACTTTAAATCTCCTCCATATATTTAAATTTCTAATAATTTTTCTGACGCCACAATTTTGGCTCCGTTTGGCGAGAGCTAAACGGGATTTTTTTGGCTATTTTAGTCACAAAAGATAAAATAGGCTATTTTAACCACAAAAAATAAAATATCACATCCAACCCATAATCATTACATTCTTCTCTCATAAAAAAAGTCAAAAAAGTCAAAAAGTCAAAAAGTCAAAAAGCAAAGCCCTTTCCAAAACAAACTTTTTAGCCCGACTAAAATAACAAAAAAAGTCAAAAAACTAAAAAGTCAACCCACTCCCTAAACGGAGGCTAAATTGATTCCATTCCCTAGGCTCATTTTATTGGGTAACCAAATGGTGATTCCCTTCCCTAGGCTCATTTTATTGGGTAACCAAATGGCATATGTCTAAGCATCATTTTATTTGGTTTCAGAAAATTGAACATACTTTTTAAAAAATTAATTTTTTATTTTTTCGTATCTTTTTGTTTTTAGTCTAAAATTTTAATATTTTTATTTTTTAGTTACACTTAATTTAGACACACTTAAAAAGTATAATATTTATGAAATTATTTTTAAAAATTCATCAAATACAAAAATATTTAAAAAATAAAAATATAGTTCATTTTTGTATTCTTGTGTATTTATTAAATATTTTACTTTTTATGTGCATCTAGAAAGAAAAAAAAATTACTTAAAATATTTAAAAAATCACTAAAATAAAATAATATGAAAATTAAAAATTAGATTTTTAAAAAATCAATAAAAACCAAAAAAATTCAATTATAAAAAATTATACTAAAGAGGCCCAATGTCATTTATCCATGGCCTTGTATCCCCCCCCCCAAAAAAAATAAAATAAAATAAAATAAAGACAATTTTTTTAATTAAAAAAGTAAGTACATCATATATGTTTACAAGGTGAACCCAACGTGGGTCAGTTTCATGGGATGTTTTCTGTCATTGTTTTTGGGCATTGGGTATTGTCCACTTCGGTTGCATCTGAGGTCAGATCCTCTCTAGCCCTTCCTTTGGAGGACGATTCAAATTAGGTCACGTCACTCTATTGAAGATTTGCGATTCAAATTAGCTTTAAAAAAAAATAAATCAAATTTCTCATTTTCTTTGACACACTCTCTCTCCTCCCTCACTGCCACACGCGCACACTCTCCCCGTCACGCACACAATTCAAATAAAAAATTTAAAAAAAACTATTTTAATCTTTTTTATTTTATATTCATAATATATATATATAATTTTTAATATAAAATTTTAATTTTATAAAATTAATATAATTGAAATTATACCTTTAAAATGAGACTAATATTAAATATATTTAATAAAACATTAAAATAAATAAAAAGTCATTATTTTCATATTTGATTTGCACTTATGCACAGATTAAATTTGTGTTTAAAAAAAAAATAAAAACATATTTTGATTTGCACCTATGCACATATTGAATTTTTGTGTTTTTTTATTTCCTTTAAAAAAATTTATAACTTGTTTGGTTAATAAAATTAAATAAAGTCTGTTTGGTTTGAATTTCTAAAGTGATTTTGGGAAAAATATTTTAGAAAATTTGTTTGGTTTGTAAATTTTCTAAAATAATTTTCAAAATCACTTTTTCTCTCTCCTCTCTCCTTCTCAATCACTTTTTCTATCACACACATCTATTCAATTATAACAAAACATCAAATCATTATAAACTCCCAAACTCCAAAACTACTTTCAAAATACAAAACCAAACAAACCAAAAAAATTTCTAAACTCTCCTCCCAAAACAATTTTCAAAAAATACTCTCTCAAAAACAAACCAAACAAGCCCTTATTTTCATATGATATTTTTTGGAATGAAAATTGTTTTTGAGAATTTCAAAAATATATATTTTTGTGTGTTTATTTCATCAAATTAATTTTTATATTTAAATAATAATAATTTGAAAACATAACTAAACATAGTAATTATTTTTTATTTATTTTAACTTTTTATTAAATATATTTAATATTAGTCTCATTTTAAAGATATATTTTCAATGACATTAACTTTATAAAATTAAAATTTTATATTAAAAATTAATATATTATGAAAATAAAATATGAGAGAAAAAGAGAGTGTGTGTTAAAGAAAGAGAGAATTTTGAATTTTTTTTAGCTAATTTGAGTGGCAGATTTTTAATGGGATGACGGACCCAATCTAGACCATGGGCTGGAGAGGATCTGAACTCGTTGCATCTATCCTAATTGGATGTATGTGTTCACTCCAATTGTAGATCATATTTTAATTTTAATTTTTTATTTTTTTCCTTTATCTCAATAAGTTTTTTATTATAAGATTATATTTTAAGATTTTTACGTAATTTTATAATTTAAAATGCATTGGAATATAGAGATTTAAAAATAAAAGATATTCTTTGATCCAGCAAAGCTAATTAAACTTGAGAAAATTACAAATCAAACTAATTTTTAAAAAATAAGTATAAACACATGAAAATTTTTATGACTTTAATAATTAAGATTTGTAAACTTTATCATTAATCTGTATTTTTTTTTTTTCATTTTTCAACTGATATGTTATTTACCGATTAAACTTCAAATTGTGCAACCTAAGTGCTGTTTGTTAAAAATTAATAATCCAAGAGCAAAAATTAAAAGCACTTCACACACAGCTATTAGAAATTATTTTTTAAAAATTTATTTAAATTATTTCTATTTAATAAATTATAAGCAAAATCTATATCAAACAAAATAATACAGAATCTCAAGATAAAAAATAAAAAAAATTAGAAACAACTCAAATAAAGTCACACTATAGCTTATGACTTCTAGTCAACCAATCCATATAAATGCTGGGCATTTACTGGGCTCAGAATCATTTTCAGAAAAGTAAAAGCATTGTCAGATTAATTACCCCCAAAATTAACCCCCCTGGAGAGGATGCTACTTCTCTTTAGGTTAAAAAACAAAAGCAAAGATTACCCCCCTTGGATAGAAAAGTTAATTTGTCGATTTTTATTCGAAAATGTTTGGGTTCCTTTGGGGATGATCCCACACTTTCAAAATGATCTTAACTCTCCATATATGTGTACTCATATATGCGTGAGGTCCACGTCATGAATAGTCCAAATTTATAGAGATCTTGTGAAAGTCTTGTGGAGGTGGAGGTGGAGGTGGAGGTCTCAATCATTACTCTTTTTATTCTATTGATGATCACCGTATTTTATGAACTTTGTCATGAAATTTTTTCAATTTTTCCCTATTTCTCCATGCTATGCGTAGTTTAGCTTTCCTTTTTCTATTTCCATTTCAGGAATGCATAAATTTTGGATAGGATTCTAGTCATTTGTTACTGTTGAATGCAGATAAAAGCGGACCAGTAAGAAAACAAATTAAGGAGATGCCACCTAAAACCCAAAATTACTCCAGAATAAAACCCAAAAATTATTTATTATCGTTAGTAATAATGCCATAAACGCATTACAATCATATATTTTTTTGAACTACAAAAGTATATGATTGTTATGCATTTGTGACATTATTTTCGACGATAAGGAATAACTATATCTGTGTAGACACAACTAATTAAGTTTAATTATGTTTAGTTACAATAATAAGAGTTTAAGGTGTAGGGTAATCCAAATTGGTGGGTAAGTATACTTTTCACCCAATCGACAAGGTTTCGAATCCCTAATTAACTTGATGTGTGAGGATATAATTTTCGAATATCATTAAAGTTTAATCAACAGGTTTATCAATGACCTTTAAAAAAAATTATTGTAAGAGTTTGTTAAACTGAATAAAGTTGTGTAAGCTTGGAAAATAAAAACAGAAATCATTAAATGTTGGGTCCTGATAAATTTGTGGTACAACCACCCTTTAATTAATAAAAGCAGGAAGGGGTAGCAGAAATTTAAAGAAATGGATGAGAAGCAAGACAAAAAGAGGAGGGAAAGTTAACTATAAAGCAAGGACTTCAATTGTGACACCTACTCTTCTTAGCTGTCTCTTTAATGAAGGTTTTCTTTCAAAATTTCCCCTTTATAATTGGGGGAGTTATTGGTTATTAACACGGCACATGGTATTTTAAGATATTATAATTGGTGAAAAATATAAAATTTATGATTTTGTGTTACACGATTAAAAATATTAGAAGGCATGATGAATGATGATTAGTAAAGAAATATGAACACGTGATACTCTAAAAATACTTAATAATTTTCCTTATAATTGGGATTAGAAAGCAAGACAAGCCCATGGTAAATTTTTTTTTTTTTAAATTATACATATATATAGACATATCATATTCTTTTCTTTAAAAAAAAAAATACTTAGAATGCAATATTGATAGTACTGCATTTATTCTAGATGAGTGTAGTGTTATCATAAGAAATTCGTGACAATTAACATGACTAATGTGACTAAACTCCAATTTGGTTAGGTCTATAGTATATTTTCTTTGCAAATAAATATTTCCACACAACTAATATTTAAAAAAGAAGAATAATGATATACAAATAGAAAAATATACAAAATTACTTGATTGTGCGGGGAGTTATTATTTCAAAACACAATAATATCTCTATTAAAATGACATTTAATCACAAAAATATAATAACCAAGGTATTCTGATGAAAAAATTTATATAAAAATTTATCTCCAATTGATTGTACTGTATAGTCCAAAATTATTGGGCAGGGATTGTAAGCCTCACAACAATGAGATTCGTTGTAGGCTCTACAGTAATTTCCACAATATTTTGAATCGGATAGTTTAGAATATTGGAGAGAAATCAAATTTAAAAAAATTTGTAACAATAATATTTTTTTAAAAGAATAAATTAAAAATTAAAAATAGAGCCATACCTTCTCCGAAATGGCGTCTTGAACAACAATGATGTCACTAGTGATAGCAGAAATGACTTCACCGGTGGAAGAAGCATCGGTGTCGAAAAGACTAATGTCTTGATTTAACATGGACCGTAGATATTCCATCCTCATCTTCGCCGCTTGCCTCTCTCCAGTATGCATCCAACATGCCACCTCTATATATAGATACACATACATGCACATTAATATACACACCTCCACATATTTTTAAAAAAATGAATAATTAATATTAATTAGTTCATACCTGTCCATGATGAAAATAATATCACCACACTGAGATATACAAAATCCATTGAATACTGCAACAAAAAATTAGATATAAAAAAACAAATTCTAATTAAGCTATATATAAATAAATAAACAACAATGTTTCATAAAAAAATAAAAAATAAAAAACTATTCGGAATGTACTCAGAAAACAACATCAACGATCGCATTTATTGCGCAAAATTTTTTAAATAAAAATTCTAAGTACATTGCATTATTTATAAACTAATGATAAAACGTGCTATGCAAAGCATGCAAAAAAAAATTAATAATGTATTTTTATACAAAATAATATAAATAATTAATTTTTTGTGTTCAAATTAAGCAAACAAAGAAAATTGAAATTTATAGTTTAAGTCCCATAATTTTATCACAATTTATTTATTATTTTTTAATTTGTCACAAATTTAATCGTGTAATTTTCAACCCCCCATTACTAGAATTGCAAATTTAAGTGAGCTCAACCCAAACAATTTGAGTCAAGTTTGAAAATTTTTAAAGATTTAATAACATAATTTTTTAATTAAGTGAGGACTTATGCAAAAATTTAAAAATTCAAATTAAATATAAGTGAACTTGGGTAGAAACACCAAATAACCTGAGAAACCAAAACAAAATTATGTATATAAATATATAAATTATTTGCTAATTTATTTTTTAAATAATAAATAAAATTTATTAAAAATTTAATATTAATGAATAAAAGAAAAAATAATATACTTAAGATTTCCAATAGAATTTTTCTTGAAAACATTTACAAAATATACCTTTTAGAAAGGGATCATCAAATAAAAGATTGTTTGGGAAGTGCCATATTACTATATTAGCTCACTTTTTTTTTTTTTTTTTAATCTTTTTTTAATCACATCACATTTCTACTTTTCTACATATCTTTTCGTAAAAAGTAAAAAAGTATATTTAATTATCTTTTTTTAGTCATATCACATCTTTATTTTTCTATACATATTTTCGTAAAAAGTAAAAAAATATATTTATTTAATACTTCCCAAACTATCAGTAAGTTGATATTAAAAAAATTTACCTTTTGTAATGGCATAAATAATTTAAATATGACTTTTTAGAAATTATTTTTAATTTAAAAATTACAATAAAATATTAAATAGAACAAAAACAAATTTCTTACAAATAAAAGTATTTGAATAAAAAAAGGTAAGAGGAAAATTAAATATGGTATTTTCATTTAATCTGAAAATAATTTTAGATGAACAATAAATTATCACCTATAATCCCTTTTTTAAATAAAAAAATTTTAACGAACTATCACTTTTAATTAAAAAAAAATTAACATTTTTGTCTAATTTATTTTAGCAAAATTAACTTTTTAACAATTTGAGCTAAAAAATATCTTTATTCTATATTTTAATTTCTTTCATTGACAATTGAGATTAAATAAATAAATAAAAAGTCTAACAAAATCCACTATGTTTGGTAAGTACTAAAAAAGTTATGTTTTGTTCTTTTGTCAAAAAAAAAGTTATATTAAAAAAATTATTGTTCAAGTCCTTATAGTTTAGAAGGATATAATTTTTTTTTTATAAAATTTAAAACAAAAAAAAGAAAAAAAAAATTAAGAAAATTTACCTATAAATTCCATCTTGAGGAATGCTGATCCATCTAGTCCTAAAGATTTTTAGTTGGCAGACTGAAGACCGTCTGCGGCCCGGAGTGGGCCTGGTCCGTTTATGCCCGAGCCCAGCCCAAGATCCTAGGGCTCGACTTGGACCATCATTTGAAATTCTAGCCCCTGTTGAGGCCCAGTGTCTTTTTTAGTGAAAAATAATAAAATTTTGGTTGAAAAAATAAATAAAAAAACAAAAAAAAAATTGTTCAGACCTGTCCAAGCCCGAGCATAGGACCAGGCCCACCAACTCGGCCCGAGGCCTAGCCCACTAACTCGCATAAGGCCCACATACCTCCTGGGCCTAGGCCTAATTTTCTGGTACGTAGGCCGACCCAACTCGAATTTTGGCAGGAGCCAACAAAACCCGACATGGTCCAGGCCGGGCCAGGCCAAATTTACACTCCTAAGCTTGGGCTAAGCTATGTTGTGTTGGGCTTAGCTTTGAGAATTGGGCTTAGATCGAGTTGTGACCCAACATTAGTATCCATTTTATGAGCTATTCAGTTGGTTTATTCAAACATCATTATATACATATTTATTTATATATATTAAACACATGAGATATTTAGACCTTTGTAACTCTCTTTTTTTGGTGATGGAGTTAATGACCATATTAGTGGCCATAGGTTTTTAACTCTTGTAACTCTAGCTCTAATGACTAGAGTTGATGACCTTGGTTAATAACATTTGATAGTCCTCTTGATGTATAACCTTCATGGTTAAGGATTTCCCTACTTATATAAATAGAGATCTTTCCCCTCTAACTTGGTAGGATAATTTTGGAGAGATATTTGATAGAAAATGAAGATGGTGTTTTGAGATAAAAAGTTAAAGATAGTTTTTTACACTAAAGAAATTTTTTTCTATCTTCTTTTGCTAGCCTCTTATTTGGTTCTTATTAGAGATAGTGCATCAATTGTCAAGTTCACTAAAACTATTCAAAAAGTGTTTCTGTATTAGTTGGTTTTGACCGTCATATTTTGAGAAATAAATTCTGACGTACCTCTAGCATCCATCGGGAGGCGATGAATCTGTTTTAAGAAAACTGTCTAGTGCAGGCTTCGGTTTGCTTATTTTATTATCATTTGTTCTTAAATTTTTCAATATTTAGTTTACAAAGATAAATTCTAATTTTTAATTTTCCATATTAACAATTTGTTCTATTAGTACTGTAATCTAATTCATTTTTTTATTTTTAGTTGTATCGTTTATTTTATATTTCATCTTTTTAATAAAGAATTATTTTGTCATTTTTATTTAATTTATTTTATATATTTTTCTTATATTATTATAAAGAAATACCAACAAGTATGACTATATGTATATATCTTTCTCAAAATGTTTTGTGAGATTTTGACTCTCTAACACACTCGGTCCATGGACATGGACATTGGTATAACAGCTGCATTCAGGTAGAGTGAAATTCGTGGGAGATCCCACGAACCCAACAACCTTTTTTTAGAGGGTCCTATCTCATAAGATACATGCTCTCCGTTTAACTTGAGGTTAGAAAGTCTAATTTTAAAAAGATTTTTGATTTTTTTAATTTTTTTGACTTTTTTTGTAAGAGAAAGAATGTAATGATTATGGATTAGATGTGATGTTTTGTCTTATTAGACTAAAATAGTCTATTTGTCTTATATGACTATTTTAGCCCAAATCTTGCTTCCCAAATGGAGACATTGCATGCCTCATTGGTAAAACTCATCCACTATTTTCATTTGTAATGTTAATGAAAATTGTTAAAATTGAAATCTTACGTTAGATCATTAGGATAAATTCATAGATCAGATTATGAAATAGGTTGGCTTTTTTATTTTTTGACCTTTTTAGCCTGGAGCTAAAAAGCTTTAGTTTGGGAAGGGCTTCTGGCTTTTTTGACTTTTTAAATTTTTTTGTGAGAAAATGAATGTAATATTTATGAGTTAGATGTAATATTTTACTTTATTAAGCTAAAAAACCTATTATATTTTTTGTGACTGAAACAGTTAAAAAAACCCAAGTTTGGGCTTCCCAAACGAAGGCTATAGTATTAGATTCAGAATCATAAGATTATATTTTCAAGGCAAAATTACATGAAAAATGATCAATAATAATTATGTATGTTAAATAATTTTAAAATAATTAAATTTAATATAATATATTTTTCATGCTATAACATAAAGTAATGAGTTTTTTTACAGTAGGCTTAAGTTTCCCACCCCCACACTACATACATGAAAATAATGATTACTTTTTTAATTTTATTTCAGTATACTAGTTTTAAATTTTTAAAATTCTTATTAAAAAATAGATAAGCAAAATGAAATTAATTCCTACTCCTTACTTAAAAATGTTTTTTTTGGGCAATATTGTTTAGAGGAAATTACTTTGGTACACGTTCATTTAACTTAGGTCTCATTTGGAAACCAACTCATTTAGCTAAAAAATTAAAAAGTTACTAAAAAGTCAAAAAGTCAACAACCCATACCAAAAAATCAAAAAAAAAAATTTCTCTCTACTTTTTACATATTTTTCGTAAAAAGTCAAAAAGCCATCTCAAACATACTAGTTTTTTTTAGCTCATATTTTAGCCAAATAGCAAAAAAGTTACTAAATTAACCTGTTCCCAAACGAGGCCTTAGTCCGGCAGCAATCCCTTTTGGGGGGATAGCTTTTTGTAGGGGTGTACACGGTCCGGATTGGTTCGGTTATGAGAAAATCCAAGAACCGAACCGATCCTAACGGTTCTGTGATTTTGAGAACCAAATCAGACCATTACACTTGTAAAATCGGACCAGAACCAAACCGAAAAAACGGTTCGATTTCGATTTGATTTACGGTTCTAAAAATTTCTATTTACAAGAATAAATTGTTAATATTAGTAAAATAATTACTCAAACTAATTACATTTAACTCATGATAAAAACTAATAATATTGAGGTATTACTTAATTTTACATATCTATACTATCCTAATATTATTAAAATTATAAAAAAACCAATTAATAAAAATAAAACTTGATATTATATATATATCTTTTAAAATTCGGTTCGGTTCGGTTCGGTTCAATTTGAACCACGGTTTTTTCATAAAATCCATTAACCGAACTTTTTTTACGGTTTTCATATTTTTTAATCTGAAATCGAACCAATTCTTAATAGAACCGAGCCAAACCAAACCGTATAATTCGGTTTGATTCAGTCCGAATTACCGATTTGAACAGATTTTTGAACAACCCTGGCTTTTTAGCTACTCACTAATTACTTTATTTACTTTTCTATGTCTTTACGCAAAAAATTTGAAAAAAAATAAAAATAAAAATCAATTAAAGTAATCACTTCCCAAATGAGTATGTTTGGGATTAATACTTTTTTAGTGCCCTTTTTTTTTTTTGGTTAATTTTTCATTTTTAGTGATTTTTTTTTTTTTAACACT